GTCATCCGCAAACGCCAGCAGAGAGTATAGAGTAGGCTGTATATCTCTGTGACCCAACTGGAAACTTCGCATCTTGAGTTTTGCTTTTCCCAGCGCCAGATCGAGAACCAGTACGAAAAGAAGTGGGCTCAGGCTACAACCCTGTCGTATGCCCAGTGTTGTTTTGAACTCTCGAGAGGTATGGTTTCTTGTTCTAACAAGATTTCTCGTATTTCCGTATAAACTGCTTACGGCCCTTATTAGTCCATTATTCACACCTTTTTCAACTAGAGCCTCAATTATATCTTTTTTCCTAACCCGGTCAAAGTCTTTGCAGAGATCTACAAAGCACACAGATAGTTCCCTTCCTCTCTCGACAATCTTCTCTGTGATTTGTCGCATAGTGAAAACTAGATCTTGTGTGCTTCTTTGACTCCTGAATCCATACTGCTCCTCTCCAATCTTAGATTCGACGGTACTTCTGACACTTGTCTCTAGGATTTTTGAGTATATTTTACTGGGAACACTAAGGAGCGAAATACCTCGATGATTGTTGCAATCCCTGTTGTCTCCCTTCTTATATATTGGCACAATTACTGCGACTTCCCAGTCCTTCGGGATCTTCTTCTGTTTCCAGACCAGGTTTACAAGATGGAGAAACATTTCCTGGCCTTGATTCTGTTTCATGTGAATGTGGATGGATTCGGAAATGAGTTTTTTCATGGTTAGGGACCGTAGCAAGGATAGAGGTTTTTTCAAAATCAAATGAGTGGTTGAGGGTTAAGGGTTGTTCTGATAGTTTGGAAGCGGAAGGGTTACGGGAAGTTATGGATGTTTTATGTTGGGAAATGCGGATATTTGGGATGGTTTTTGGTTACACCATTATAGGAACTACTACAATTAGGAGTAGAGTAAGGTATCCGGTAAACTACGTTAGATTGGTGTTGTAAAAGTATGGGATCCTTCAAGTTGGTGAAAAGGAAAAAAAGTTTGTTATGGGACTTAAGGCCCAGACGTAAGTTGGTTATAGTCGATTTAAGGAATTTTTGTATACTATCTGAGAGAATAGGAATATAAGGGAGAGATTTGTTTATGAAAAGAGTGGTAGATGATTGTGGGGAGTTGGGAAAAGGGGAGATTATACAATTTTTGGTTGTATAGCAGTTTAAATGTTTATTTACTTCCCATAAACCTCATCATTTCCGAAGTGATTCCGTCCAGTCCCGCCGACTTGCCGAGTTTCATCTTGGCGATGGATTCCAGCAATTCTTCTTCATCAATGTAATCGTCCTGTTCTGAGGAATGCTCCTCTACAACCTGGATCTCGTTTAGGTCCAATCTGTTCCTTCCAGCAGCTCTTTAAAATACTCTCTCCACCTCTCCATTATTTCATCATTCCGCCAGACAATGCTCCCCTCTCTGCTCCTAATTCCTTTCAATGTGGTGTGTCTCTCCTTGCGCATTTCTTTGATTGCTTTGAAGAATAGTTTTTGATTTTCTTTTGTGTTTTCTTCAAGTTTGTGCCCCAGATGTTTGTGCCCCAGATGTTTCTTCAAGTTCTTCAAGTTTCTGCTCACGATTTCTTCTTGGCTAGAAGTATTTTACTTTTTGTTTCCTTTCTCTTTTTCCTGTACTTTTGGTGAGCGATGGGTGTCCTTTGGCTCATGAAGTCTTTCCAAGCTGCTTTTTTCTCCTTTACAGCTCTCTTTACATCCTCTGTCCACCAAGCAGTTCGCTTGAAATTTGACCCAATGATCTTCTGACCACAGACGAGTCTCGCGGCATCAAGAATGATATTTCTAAATGCTGTCCAGCTCTCCTCAATATCATCGCTATCCCATGATTGGTAGATATCTCGTGACATCATTTCCACTTCCTCCTGATAGTATTGGGCCATTTCATCCTCCTTCAACCTGTACGATTTAATCGTTTTGTTTTTACTACCTACACATCTGTTCCTCATTTTGCTGTCATTCCAAACTTTATCGAGCATTAACAGGTAGTGGTCACTGCCAATTTCGAAGCCCCTCTTCACTCTGGCATCTTGTACATTTCTGAACTCTTCCCTCTTAACTAGTATATAATCGATGGTCGACCTTTCGTTCCTGCTGGGTTCCTCTCTAGTATATTTATGTTTTTGTTTATGAGGGAAGTTAAAATACTCTCTCCACCTCTCCATTATTTCATCATTCCGCCAGACAATGCTCCCCTCTCTGCTCCTAATTCCTTTCAATGTGGTGTGTCTCTCCTTGCGCATTTCTTTGATTGCTTTGAAGAATAGTTTTTGATTTTCTTTTGTGTTTTCTTGAAGTTTGTGCCCCAGATGTTTCTTCAAGTTCTTCAAGTTTCTGCTCACGATTTCTTCTTGGCTAGAAGTATTTTACTTTTTGTTTCCTTTCTCTTTTTCCTGTACTTTTGGTGAGCGATGGGTGTTCTTTGGCTCATGAAGTCTTTCCAAGCTGCTTTTTTCTCCTTTACAGCTCTCTTTACATCCTCTGTCCACCAAGCAGTTCGCTTGAAATTTGACCCAATGATCTTCTGACCACAGACGAGTCTCGCGGCATCAAGAATGATATTTCTAAATGCTGTCCAGCTCTCCTCAATATCATCGCTATCCCATGATTGGTAGATATCTCGTGACATCCTTTCCACTTCCTCCTGATAGTATTGGGCCATTTCATCCTCCTTCAACCTGTACGATTTAATCGTTTTTTTTTTACTACCTACACATCTGTTCCTCATTTTGCTGTCATTCCAAACTTTATCGAGCATTAACAGGTAGTGGTCACTGCCAATTTCGAAGCCCCTCTTCACTCTGGCATCTTGTACATTTCTGAACTCTTCCCTCTTAACTAGTATATAATCGATGATCGACCTTTCGTTCCTGCTGGGTTCCTCTCTAGTATATTTATGTTTTTGTTTATGAGGGAAGAAGGTGTTACTTACCACCAGGTCGTTTGCCACACATAAATTCAGAATTCGTTCCCCAGTATCATTTAAATTGTCTTCACCGTGAGATCCCAAAACTTTTGGCCATCTTCCACTATCGCGGCCCATTCTACCATTCAGGTCTCCAAAAATTATAGGATTACCCTCACAGTCGTCTATTCTTTTTGTAGAGAATTGAAAAATGAACGCTTTTCATCTGCTCTTGCACTATCGTTTGGTCCATATGCAACTATCAAAGAGTGGATGTCTTTCCCCTCAACAATGTTTAGGATCATGATTCGATCGCTAACAAATTTCTAACCTTTAATTCCCAATGCAAGATCATTATGATACATGATCCCTACTCCGCTGGCTGCCCTCTCTCTCTCATTGACCCCCGAGTACTGAAGAGTGTAGTTCTGGATCTTCAGTTCGCCTTTTCCTTTCCTCTTCGTTTCGGGGATGCCAAGTATATCCACTTTGGCCTTTCTAATTTCGTCCACGAGTTCGCACTCCTTTCCATTCAAACCCCGCACATTACAGGTAGCAAGTCGTATAATCCGTTTTCCGTGCCTTGTCATATTTCTTAAGTTCAATCCAGCTCTAATCTTTCGTTTGTTTGTGATAAGACTTATTCTAGAGGAGTAGGTTATCAGTCCACTGCCTCCTAGTCAGGTGGAGAGGCTGCCTCCTTAGAGCATCCTGACCTGCTCCCTCATCCGAGGCTGCTTCCTAGGAGAGGTGACCCTAGGGTGTGTAGTGTAGCTGACCTTGTGTCAGTGTAAGTGTGTGGTATACTGTTCTGTGTGTGTGTTAGTGCAGTGTACTGAACTCGGGGTCCGGAGGATCGTCAATCCCCACTAGCTGCGCACTTCAGCTAGCCCCTGCAATAACTCTTAATGTCACTGAATGCATCTATTGTTTTTTTTTATTCTTATACAATTAAATCTGTACCTATAGTTACAATAAAATAATGATGTGTTTACATATTATTCATTATTTAGATACTCTGACAATTTAAAATGGCAGATTCGTCTTTCTTTTGTTAGAAGAAACACAGAGTTTATTTTAAAAAAAACTCAATGTATTTTTATTCATTTTTTCTCAAAAGTGTATAATTATAATTTTTCCTACTCTACAAAGTTTTAAGTGTCTTGTCATAGTTTTAGGTGTTTATATAGATTTATTTATTTATTTTTGTACATAGCTTGTTTAATTAATATTTATTATACTTTTTCTTTTTTTTGTTATTGTTTTATTTAGGCCAGATGTAGTCTTTTAATTTTGTCATTCTAATAATAAAGAATAAAATTATTTTGTATTTAAATTTCTATTTCTATTCTGGTATTTTGCGTTTTGAAAAAGAAATCTTATAACATCAAGTTTTAGTCTGTTGTACAGACCCCTTTTTATCAAATTATTAACATTCGACTGAAATTTCGTAAATAGCTTCATCTCACCGTAACCTACAAATATTTTATTTATGAAAATTCTAGGAATTGGGCCATTTTCAATCTGGAGTTCGACAAACTTTGTCTATTTAATCAGGAACTAAAAACTCGTAAATACCCATTTGCTTTTCTCTTGAATCGTAAGATAACTTGAGCCCAAAATTGAGAAAAAAGGTGGTCTTCAAAAAGATTGAGCCGTTTGACGTGACCTACACCCCAAAATTGTCAACATAACGAGGTTATGTGTGTCAAACGGTCCAATATTTTTGTAGGTCATTTTTTTAAAAATTGATTTTGTGCTCAAATTATCTCACGACCCAAGTGGATAGCAAATAGGCATTTACGAGTTTTTAGTACCTAATTAAATAGACAAAGTTTATCGACGTCCAGATTGAAAAACGCCCCAACCCAAGAATTTTCGTAAATAAAATAGTTGTAGGTTACGATGAGATGAGTCTATTTACGAAGTTTCAGCCGGATGTTAATAATTTGATAAAAAGAGGTCTGTACCATGGACTATTGTTAAATTACATTATAATTGTTTGAGAATAAACAAAATAGCTAATGAACCTTTCTTTCACTTTTTTAATTTATTTACATTAATAAATTAATATGTTATTGTACATTAAAGTATGATTTAATGTAGAAAGCTAAATAATAATCTTAAAACGTCCAGAAACAAGGGTCGGAGGGGTAATAGAGGTCTAGTGTTGATATCAGAGCTCGATTCCTTCCCACTTTGAGTGAGAAAACCTGGTAGTGTTATAGACCTTGACCATTTCCTCTTCTATGCTGGTGGTAAATGATCTATTCATTGAGGAACGACGTATTCCCTTCTCTTGAATTGTGTTGCTGTGTTTGGCTTACATTCTCGAAATGTGTTTTCTGAACATAGGATCTTTAGTTTAATGTTATTATCAAGGTTTGAATATATATTCGAGAAATTTAATTGAGGCAGTGCATTTTAAATTCATTTATAATTTAGTATAATTTAATTTGTTTAGGTTAGTTTTTGTGTTATACCATTTGGTGATAATGAAGTGCATTTTTTAGATCAACTTTAATAATTATTTTTTACAGGCATTCATTAAACATAAGAAATGGCTAAACGAGACAATGATATGAAGTCAAAAGTTGACAGAATAGTTGAAAAATTCCTTGGCTTTAATGAACCAGTTTTAGCAGCTACTGCTTTAAATTGTGTTAACAATGGATATGACAAGAAAAAAACAACAGGTAAGATTCTTTAATTTTAATTATTGGTATACAATTATGTAATGCAATTGTTTTAATCTGTGGGTGAACTCTTTCTTTCTATTCTTACTATTATATTAATTAAAAATATCTATAATGAGCTCTATGTAGCCTGTAGAGACAACTACGTAATTAGGAAAACTGCTATGTTGCTATCGAACAAGTCTCCAATACCTCTTGCTACATGCTTCTCAATTTTATAATGCCCTAATTTAAATCCATCTTTTTGATATGATGATGATACTTTTCTAAACTTTGCTACTTTTTATGTTTGAACAGATTTTCAGTTGTATTTCAGAATCCTAGTTCTTGACCTGCTACATCTAAAATATCTGTTACAAGTGATGTATTAGAAATATTCTGTAATGGTGCAAAGTTAACTATTTTAAGACATTTTAGTACTACTGTTGAAGGGTGGCTCAAGATCTAATGAATATACTATAAATGGAATCCCAAGAATGCTCTAGAATATCCCAAAGTAGGTAGAGGTGACTGACTCATATAGTCAGGACCTCACTCCAACTGAAAGGGACTCAGGGGTTCGCTTATCATTTTTGTGTGAGTGGAATTTTAAAGCAGAAATGTTATTAAAACTAATTAAGGCTCTAATTTCAATTGATTAGGACCAGTTGGGAGTTTGCTGAAATGATGAATCGCGGTCTAAATTATAAGAAGTTATACCATGAACTGGGACATTCTCAGAATCTCATTTGTATTGTGGTCATGAAATCTTAGTACACTTATCAAAATGGAAAAACACTTGTAAAGTACTTCTTTTTTAGTACTTTAGTTTAAGCAATATTATCAATGTTTATCCATTGTGGTATGAGAGTTAATTAATTTTTCTCTGCTACTTGATCTAGATATGCAAACTATAGTTGTAAGTAAGAAAAATGGTCCTTAGTAGAAGTTTTGAATCGATATTCCAAGATGGTAGCTGGTTTCATGATCACATTAAGCACTCTGTAAATTAAATAAAGAAATATCTTGAATTTATTTATAAGTAGACGTAAGGTGACCAATATCCAACCCTTCGAAGCAGATTATGTTTAGTTAGGTTTCAGTTTAAGTTTTCATCTCATTCACTTCTGTTTATATACCAATAAGAGTAGAAAGCGACTTTTAGAAATCTTTGTCGGTTTTTCCACACTTATTACCATGAAATGAACATAATTTATCACTTTCTCTACATTTTGTTGTAAAATATGTTATTAAGACATTTATGTAATTTTTGAAGGAAGTTATTCGAATATTCTATGTATCGTGGGTGTAGATAGTTAGGAAACAGTTAGATATTAAGATTTTTAATACCAATGTTTCAACCCTTGATTGTGAGTCATCAGGGTATGTTATCTTTTTTTTTTTTTTTTGCTTCCTCACTACTGAAAGTAGGGAAGCATTGTATTCGTGCGAGAGGTTAAAAAAAATGTGCTCAGAAATGAAAATTTCCACTCCATTTGAGACATCAAGGATCAAATTTGGTTTGGTGTCTGTCTGTCTGTAGTCAAATCGATGTAACGAGCATATCACCTACTACTGTTTATACAATTTTCATGAAATTTTCAGGAATTGTGCGGGTTGGTGTCAGATGGTCTCATATCAATTTTAATAAATAGTAGGCCCGTGTGAAAAATTCGCACAGCATATTGTTATCAAATGCCAAATTAATAAGAAAATGCAACTTATCAAAAGATTAAGACATCAAATGTTACTTTATCGATAAATATAATCCACAAAGCAAACAAAAATTAATTTAAATCTTCATTTTTGTTTTTAACCAACATGTATACAAATTTCAGTATGCTGTATATTTGCTAAAAATTGTCCAATTGCGATGATTTTTTTTTCCTTTTGTAGGGAATTTAGTAATGTTTTATATAATCATGGGAATAACCAAGGGAAAAGTGTGTAATTTTTCAGTTATTCGCAAATAAAGTTTATTTTCTTTCATAACTTGTTTGCCTGAATTTTCTGGGTGATTGGACTACTTTGCCAGCCTGAAGGAGAAGGAAGCCTTCGAAATTGGTGGCTCAATCTTCGATTTAGTGAAAAATTAACGATGATATGGCTTAACGATCAAAAAAACTATCGATGAATAATATAAACTACCCCCCTCTCAATCATAGAGACCTCAAGTCGACGAAATGAGACATGTATTCAATGACAGTACTACAATTAATGTAAGGTTGTGTGGATGCGAACCCTATGCCTTGCGTTATCTCGAAAATAGTACGTTTTCCAGCTTAAAAACAAAGTATCTGGGTGTTGCTGTACGCATCAAAATCTTTAAGATCCAATTTGTCCCATATCGATCTACAGACCTACCACCGTTCCAGTATCGAAGCCTAGCAAAATGTTTGTATCGACTTTATTTATTTTAGAAAGAAAAACAAGTACGATACGAAGTGGAGAATACGATTCGCTAACCCCCTGTGAAATTCTGAATCCAACGGTACCCCATTCGTGGTATTTGAGCATGATAGGAGCTTATATTTGGTACAAAACCGATTTCGAGCCTTACTGTAATAATATATGTACGGATTCTAACCAGCACTTCCGCTAAAGCACACTCAAACACATTTTTGTAGATATGCCAATATTTCAGAAATGGCTTTCAATTTTTCTCAAAATTTGATAAAAGGTAGGTATTTGTGAAGAAATAATTTAAATAAAAAAAATAAATTAAGGGTAAATTTTATTGAATTCTGTCCATAGCTTTCTCTTATATGTGTGCAAACATGTTTTTCTTGATACGTCTATATCTCTAAAACGGCAAGTTCGATTTGGCTCAAATTTAAATGTAAACATAAAATAAAAAGGCATCAATTTTATCAAATTCTATCTACTACTTAAAAAAAACAATACTTCCCCTTTCAGATCAGAAAATGTGTTATTTGATATGGCTATAGTTTGAAAACGGTGCATTTGATTTGAGTCAAACTTGGAGGAAATTTGGATAACAGTATAGAAATTACGTAGTATCAATTTCATTGATTTCCATTTAATAATTAAAATTAATATAAATAATTGTTAACAATATAATGGCTGTGAAATGTTGAAGGCACTGATCATATGGAGTGGGAGTTAGGTTATTACAGTATTGTTATGGGAGGGAGAATCACTTTATTATCATAAAATGGTGCTGCCCAATTATATTGGATTGCTAAAAACACTTTACAAAAAATGTCTTAAAGTCTTTTAAAAATTAAAAACAAAAACATAAAAACCTGTTCTACTGGGTCTTATATCGAATACTTTGTAAGGAAGTACTGTTTCTTGGTCAACAATTTCAATTTGTCCTGCCGTGACCATCCCGATCTATGGTTAACGTTTATGCAAGGAGGTGATTTGACTGATATCACTATCAAGTTTTCCTCTTAATTAATTGTTTAATTAAGAGTAATCACTTCATAGACCCTAGGTAAGCCCTCTAGTAGGGTCTCCTGATTCCAAGATTGATCATCGGCTAATGTAACAAAATGAGTAATTACCTTCTTTTGCCAGACTTGGAAACGGATGCTTGAGCTAAGGAACACAATGCATTACTTATGAAGCTATCCCCTATCCTCAATATATTATTTGTATATTTATAAAATTTATTGGTGTTAATGGAATATGATGTGGACTAATTTTCTCTATGTTCCAACTTTTTTTAACTACTTATAAATTAATCTGGCATTTAGTTTTAAAATTTTGTTTAAAAAGTATATAATTTTTTTAGACATATTCATTTTGTAGTCCAATCATTAATTACCTCTTCTTTTAGTATTGAGTGAGTTTTTATTGTTTGGATACAGTAATATTGTTGAGGTAAGGTGTTTGGTTTTACAGAAAAGCTGGGGAATCTATTGGATACGAGCAAAGCAGAAAAGTTGGCTGAGAAACTTTCTGGGCTTTACACAGAAGGTGTTAAAGATACCAAAACCAACAGGAAGAGACATTTCGATGATCTTGATCCTTTCACAGAAAATAAAAAAATTAAATCTGATAGGGATGCTGATAAAAAGGGTGATGTGCTATCTTCCAATGAGGTATATTAATACTATTTTTTTATTTAAATTATTATTATTTTTTCTAATTAAATCGTTTGTAAATTATATTTTATATTTATTTGATATTTTATAGATTAAAAATATGATGGCGAATGCTCAAAAAATGATAGAAGAAAGGAAGAAATCTTTAATGGCTATTAAAGGTGGTTCTAATACAAATTCTCAACCTCCTGTCAAATCAGCTCCAAAGGCTTTACCAACTCCACCTATTTCTAGTACTGTTTCAGCAGTGCGAGTCCCTGATGAGAAAGCTAAGAAAATAGCTCTTTTACAGGTAAATTAGTGATGGTTGCCTAGTTTGCAAAGATTGCACAATCTTGAAGTTTTTTTGAGTATCAATTTAATAATGAGAATTTTTGAGATTTACTATCATTATATATTCCAACAAGGCCTGGAAGGACAGCTTATCCTCTTAGTCACCAATCTATCCCAGCCATAGTGAAAAGATCAAAATTTATTCTGTGTTTCTGTCACAAAATATATTTCAACCCCTCCCTTTGGCCTGATTTGAATGTGCACTGCTTGTGATTTAAGAATGCTTAAGCAGACAAGGCTTCAAGATAGTCAGTCACTACACTCTCAAAAGCTATATAATATCACTAAACTTGAACATGAAACAATTATAATTATTTATTGTCATAATAAACATTTAATTATTAATGCTATTTTACCATTATTCCTGCCTTCAGAAATACAAACAAGAGACACTGAAATTGGTACCAAGTGCTAAAACACAAATACTTTTTTTTATAATACATTCTGTTCCTATCTTATATGCTTATCATCATAGCCTTAATGCACAATTTAATTTGATCTTATTTATTATTATAAACTATCTTCTGGATCTGGAATAGCTGAAAAAGTCAGGGCATTTTCGCTACATAATCAGGGCCTTTTACTATCTAGGCTACTATTCTTCCTTCTAGGCGCGATTGTAAATTTTCTATTATGATTCAGAATCATTTGTCTCTAAAACATTATACAACAGTGATGTATACACATGACATTTCAAAACTATTTTGGTATATTCATTAATTTTTTTTGAAAAACAATTTTTCAAAAAATTACATTTCTAAAATATTTGTTAAGAAACCGTATTTGTAACAATAAAGGCATTTTGTTGTTTTTAAATATAAGTATCCCAAAAGTGTTTTGGCCTTGTTGAGTAAGTTTAAAAGTCAACATTACCACCGATGGTGTTTCTATTTTTTTTAGCTTCAAAGAGGCTGCTTTGATATTTTTATTTGTATATATGTAAGATATACTATATAATGTTAGTCTCATAATATTTTAGTAGCAGAATGAATAATTTTGAACAAATTTTTCTATAGTCTTTGTCTTAAAGCCCATTTAATTTTAATATACATAATCTTCTAAGTTTTGAATGTTATAATAACTTAATGTAAAACAGTTTCATTCATAATTATGAATGAATATTAAACTCATAAACATATGTTATGATTTTAATAACCTTCCCACCTATGGATCGATATTTCACATAATCCATTCCTGAAAAAGCTGGAAAAATTTTGTTTCATCATAACTCATTCAATTTAAGCAATTTTTATTTGAACTATTATCCATATATTCGTAAATATTTTGTGTGGATATAATAATCGTCTGAAAGATATTCATTAAATTGCATATGAAACCTAAAATTAAAGTGTTTTATATTTGTCTGGAATGGATGCATTTACACTCTTGATAATTTAATAATGATTGAAAGTTTAAGGGAACGTGAAGGCTAGATTTTTAATTGTTCAAGATCAGAATGAACCATAAAAATTATTTCCTTTCTGTTTTATGCTTTTGAATTAATTTAATTCAAAGTATTTGAAAATAGAAAAATATTAATAAACTTAAACCTGAATAATTAAAGCTTGAAAAGATTATTCTTAAAACAATCTGAATATTGGTGCTTTAGGTTGACAATCATTAGTTATGTCTGATCTGTTTTTATTGACAGATATGAATTTTAAAAATTCATGCATTTACATTTAAGTATTTACATTTTAATATACTTTATCTTAGAAAATTATCTTAATCAGTTATTTATTACAGGCTCAAATAAAAAACAAATTGAGCAGTGGCGTACTTGGTTTTGATGGATCGGGGATACAAGTTGGCAAGCCTACTCCATTGATTCTTGACAGCGAAGGCAGAACTGTTGACAGCACTGGGAGGGAAGTTCAACTTACTCACGTTGTACCTACACTCAAGGTAACTTAATCATATGCATAAAGAATTTTTTTATTATAAGATTTATTTTTACTTCTTAAGGCGAGATGTATCAGTAGACTTGTGTGAGAACTCTTGAATTAGATATCCATTCTTCTTTTCTCTAATACAGGACAGTTTTCTTAATCCGAACATGTAGATTACATAGCCTATTCAGATCACCAAAAGTTAAATTCAAAATTATGGAAAACTGCGGGTGGCGAAAATATGTTTATTATCAGTTAAATATAAACACTTTGCAAACATAAAATTATTTATGAAAATGATCATTTAATGTATGTCGAGTTTCTGATTTCGTTGGCTTCTCTATTCGACTTTGTTCCATTTGTCCAATTCAAGCAAGTGCCTTTATGTCAATAATCTCTGATTTTTATTTTATTTTTTGTATCTGTGATTTGACTTATTAAGGTTATTTGACATTTATTATCAATTATTTATTGAGAAATATTACATTCTGTCACATTTAAGGATACTAGTAATAGTGATAGATTAGCTGATTCACATTATGTACAATAAATAAAAATAAAGTAAACAGCAAAATAATAATGAGTAAAAGAACAAACAAAATATAATGAAACCTTTACTAATCAAAATAACAACTTTAACACACATTGTTTTATACAATATTTACAAAATTCATTCACTCAGGAAAACTCTGAGCCAAGCCTTTCTGACCACTCGTGGCTCTAGCGACTCACTCAGCACTATTACTGGCGTAAAGGACCAGTAAGATTAATGTAAATATTTTATAACATGATTAATTGATGACTCATTTTTTCATATATTCTCGAATCATATATCCTGTGGAATCTATATGGAGCATTACCTAAGGAGGGCGGAAAGAATGAGTCCATGTGTAATTAATTATATTAGACTCAGTTTATTTTTTTCTTATAGGCAAATATTAGAGCCAAAAAAAGGGAAGAGTTCAAAGCACAACTTCAGGAGAAACCTACTGAAGAGAGTTCGGAGGCCAAGTTTTTTGATCCCAGAATTTCAGCCAGATCAAATGTCAGGAACAGAAAAGCTTTACGTTTTCATGAACCTGGAAAGTTTCAACAAATGGCTGACAGAATGAGAATGAAGGTAAAAAAAGAATAAGTTAAATTTTCATTGTATGTATAATTATAGAATTGTTCATTTTTAATTGATTATTTGTTATAACCTCATTTTTTATTTGTTGGACAATTGTTGACCACTTCAAAATATTAAAATTTTTGTCAATTAATTGAGATAGTCTTTATAGGTATGGTTTCTAATTTGCAATTTGTATTTTTTTAACTGTTATTCACTTTCAAAAGTTGTTATAAAAAGTATAGATGAATGAGTAATTTAAAAAAAAAAAAACATGTAAATCAGTACTTGTTCATCATTTTTATTGGGCATAAAAAAATATGCATAAAAACTTACAATTTACTGAGATCATAATTTCATTTTATTACTGAGTAGAATAATCTATCAAAACATATCTAATAAATCAGATTAAGTTTCTCTAGAGTGCATAGTGATTTAAGAATAATTCATTAATTCAATTTATATATTCCAGGCTCAGTTACAAAAACTTCAAAGTGAAATTTCTCAAATAGCGAAAAAGACCGGGATTACATCAGCTACAAAACTGGCACAGATTGCTCCAAAGGTTGAACAGACATCAGCAGACATTCCTCACGTGGAATGGTGGGACTCTGTGGTTCTCTTAAATGATTCGTTAGTATTGATATATTTTAATTTATTTTGCATATTTGATTATCATTGATTTTAATTATATTTTAATGATGAAAAGTAATGATATTCTATAGGAAAGCTATATTTGTATTTAATTACTACAAAAAAAAAAAATGAAATAAATTAATAATAACATTTCCATATTTTTCAGAAATTGTTTTTTTAGTTTGTTCATAGTTTCTGACATCTTTGTTTTATTATTCATAAATTAATGAAACAGCTTATAGGTTTCTATTTATTTAACTATCCCAGACTTTTTAAAAATTAGCAATAATAAGTTTTTTCTCATCTGTTTCAAATTCTTCTTTCAGTGTTCCCTGTATTCTATGTTATTATTATTCTTTTGGTCTTGCTAGTAAGCTTCAGATGATATTAAATTTCACAATCTAAACATAGTATGTATTTCTGGTATTGATAAATAATTGTCACCTTCAATGTTCATATAAGCTATTCTGGTCTCTGTTTCTACAAATTTTATATTTTGATTCCTCACTACGGAAGGTAGGCAAGCATTGTATTCGTGCGAGAGGTTAAAAAAAATTATGTGCTCTGAATCGAAAATTTCCACTCGCGTTTTACGTTTCAGACATCATTGATCAAATTTGGTTCGGTGTCTGTCTGTCTGTCTATCTGTATTCAAATCGATGTAACGGGGATATCACCTGCTACCGTTTATCTGATTTTCATGAAATTTTCGGGTATTGTGCGGGTTGGTTTCTAGATGGTCCATATCAATTTCATTATATTCTAACCAGCACTTCCGCTTACGCACGTGCAAACAGATTTTTGTAGATATGGCAATATTTCAGAAATTTGGCCCAAAGTTGGATAAAAAATAGGTGTTTGTAAAAAAATAATGTAGGATCAATTCTATTCAATTCTATAAACTTCTTTCTCTTATATATGCGTATACGTGTTTTCCTTGATACGTCTATAGCTCTAAAACTACAAGTTCGATTTAGATGAAATTTAGGGTTTGGTAAATGTAAAATGAAATAACTTTCAATTTTATCAAATTCTATCTAAAACTCCTACAAAAAAACAATTCTGCTTTCAGATCAGGAAATATGTTATTTAATATGCCTATAGTTTGACACAAACTTGGAGAAGATTTGCAGAACAGTATAGAAATTACTTAGTATTAATTTCATTGAATTCCATTTAATAATTAAAATTAATATAAATGATTGTTAACTATATAATGGCTGTGAAATGTTGAAGGCACTGATCATATGGAGTGGGAATTAGGTTATTACAGTATTGCTATAGGGTTATACAATTTTAGGTTTTATTCAAAAAATTAATTTATACTGTATTGTTTGGTCGATTCCAAACGTTACTGGCATGACACTTATTGCTGTTACTTAGATTCAGTATATTTAAAGTAATTTTTACTCTGAAATTGTAAAAAAAAAAAAAAGTCTTATTTGTAATTGCGTTTATTTCCATTGAAGTTCAACCAGTTCATCTTGGTCTCGATTTCCTCCTTAAATATTGAAGTTGTGTGAACTTCACTCATATTTTTATTTTGCAGCTTAATTAATTTTGTTCTGACTGAAGAAAAGTATTGGTCTCGTTAACTCCAAACAAACAAAAAGTCTGTATAGTGTGATTTATCAAAAAAACAATACAAATATTTTTTAGAACTAAAGAAGTATCATTTGCAGTTTTTTAGACTAACCAAATATACTATACTTCAATACAGCTTCATCTATTTTATTAAACTTAAGTATTAGGTCGTTACCAATCTTCAACTAAAAATAATTTAAAATGAAAATTTCATTCTATGTTATGAATGGGATTTAGAGAATTTCACTCCTGGGTACTCATTTAAACAAGGTCTTCCCAGAATTTCAATTGCTTTTTGATACAATATATTATTATTTTTTTTTAATACATTGTATAGTTTCTTGATGTTATGTAAAAGATTTATGTCTTCCTCCTGGAGTGAATTCTTTTATTAATCATGATTTTCTCTTACATTTCGGGGCTCTGACCCATCTTTTTTATGTACTATTTTTGTAGAACAGCGAATTTCAGGTTGAAAAACAAAAAAATCGATTTGAATTTAGTTTTTATATTTCTGCAAAAATTTGATTATTACTTAATTAAATTTTATCAGAGGGGACAAGGTAATGCTTTTGGAAAGAAGTTTTAAAGCTAGAAACATATTAACCTTTAAGATATGACCTAGGTCCTGGTGGCTGTCTACTCTAGTCAAGTTGCTATGTTTTCCACCACTTTCTTTAATGCTGATTAACTTTGAAAATACGTAGAAGACAAAGTCGGAACTTTCTGAATTTTTATTGTTATAAACTTATCATCATTTATGAAAAAAAATTGAACAATTAAAAATTTTGTGCTGGTGTATAAAGTTTAATACAAACGCGTGAAATTAAGTTTATTCATACAATTTTTAGGATCTCCACATCTCATGTCTGGCCTTTGAGCTCTTAAGTTTCAATTTGATAATATTTTGTTTGCCATTTATATTTAAATACATTTTATTTTTTCAGATACGGTCCAGATGATGAGGAACCGAAATTAAAAGAAGAAGCAATTACACACCTTATCGAACACCCAATCCAAATGAAAGCTCCTAGTATGTATTATCTTTCATATGGGGATTAGTCCTTTAAATAACAGTTTGAAGCTGACTTGCTTTCCATTCATTAATTCACAATATCCCATTAATCTATAAAACTTCAATTAAATTAAGAAAACTGTTAAATCTTGAAATTTTTTTTCTTTCTATTTACTTATTCTGTAATTACAAACTCTCTTGATTTGATTCCACTAATGGCACTTTTGTTTTACATATAATTCATTGACAATGGCAGGATATAAAAAATAAACTTAATATTGGGATTTCAATTTTATAACTTAATTAATGAATTTTTTTTTTTTTTTTTGGACTAACATATATCTATCCGCACCTGTCAATTATGATTGACAATCAGCAGATGTGCTGGCTTAGTAATGAGAGAAAAAAAAAAAAATAATAATAATAAATAAATAAAAAGGCTTGATAGGCATGAGGAATAGCAATATCCAGCGGTATCCCTTCCATGGCTTTTACTTATTATAACATTATTTCAGCAGATCCCTCATCCAGACCCTTTTCAGTCGTCTTCTGGAGTTCTCGGGCATACTAGTTGTGGCCATTTCTTTTACCAGCTGGTTGGAGTGTCCGTTTAACATGTTATGAAATCGTTTGTAGTACGTTCGTATGTGTTCGTTAACTGTCGGAACGTGTAAGTCAGTGTGTAAAGTGTGGTTGTTTACGTACCATGGTGCTTGAGTGATTAGTCGTAGTATCTTAGACTGAAAAGTTTGAAGTTTTTTTATGTGAGTTGGTTTTGCAATTCCGTATATTTGTAGTCCGTAAGTCCAAAGAGGTTTTAAAAGATATGTGTAAATACTTAGTTTCTGTCTTGCTTTTAATTTGGAATGTCGTCTTAACAGTGAATGTAACAATTTTAGTCTTAGATTTAATGTGATTCGTTTTTTCTTCACATGTGGACCCCATGTCATTCTCCTATCGAACGTAAGGCCTAAGTATTGTACTCTGTCTGTTTGTGGAATTGGTACATTGTCTATGTATACAGGAGGGCATGTTTCTGGTCTTAGAGTAAATGTGATGTGCTGTGACTTTTGATAATTTATTTGAGTTTTCCAAAGTTTACACCAATCGAGTATAATCTGTAAGTGATGTTGTAAGTTAAGGGATGCTTCTGTAGGATTGTCGTGCCTGGTAATGATAGCAGTGTCGTCTGCGTAGGTTGCTGTAAGAGTGTGGATACTTTGAGGAATGTCGTGTGTATATGTGATGTACAGTAGTGGGGCAAGGATTGATCCCTGAGGTACGCCAGCTAAAACTGATCGAATTGAGGATAGACCTTGGCCATGTCGAACGGAGAAAAATCTATCTGAGAGAAAGGAATGAAGAATTAAGTAGTAAGTATGTGGAAGTATGGTCTTAAGCTTGAAGAGAAGCCCCTGATGCCATACTTTGTCAAACGCTTGGGCGACATCCAGAAATACTCCGGTTGCATATAGTTTTCGCTCTAGTGCTGTCGATATGTAGTCAGTTACCCTGTGTAATTGTTGTGTTGTTGAATGTAATTTTCTAAACCCGAATTGATGGTCAGGAATAATCTGTCTGTCTGTTAGTATATGTAATAGTCGTGGGTACAACAGTTTTTCGAATAACTTAGAACATACTGGAAGTAAACTAATCGGTCGATATGAAGAAGGATTGTTAGTGTCTTTGTCTGGCTTTTTAATCATGGTTATGTGTGAGTATTTCCATTGTATAGGAAATTTGGTGGTCCTGAGAATGCAATTGAAGATTGTGGTAAGAAACACTAGAGCTTTCCTTGGCATTTGCTGGAGCGCCTCAGCAGTTATCAAGTCATGACCAGGGGTTTTTCTTTTGGGCAATTATCTAATTTCTTGTGCAACTTGTGATGGTGTGAAAGGAGGTGGTGGTAGTGTGAGCTGTAACGGTATGTCTAAGTTATTATGTACAAAAATATCGTGTTCTGTATTAATTAAGTCTGTATGTGGTTTGAAAACAGTGGAAAGGTGGTTAGCAAAGAGTTCAGATCTTTCCTCGTCCGAAACAGCCCAAGAACCATCCTCTCTTCGTAGGGGTGCTGACACCTCACGATGCTTTAAAAGATTCCTTGTTTGTCTCCATAAACTTCCATCGTCCGTCGAAAGGTTGTTAATAAAATTGTCGTAGTTTGTGCTTTTGAATTTTTGAATATGTCTTTTGAGTTCGTTGTTCAATCTGTTAAAAGTTTGTCTGTCTGAAGGAAGTCTATTAGTCTGCCATACTTTACGTGCTTTCCTCTTTGCTCTGATCAAGTCCCTTATGTACATAGGATAATGGGGCAAGTTCGCTGCTTTTTGTGGCCTGGATGTTGATGAGGCCCATGCTGCATCTTGTATGCTTTTTGTGAATTTTTCAACAGCTTCTTCTAATTCCTCATGATTTTTAATTGAACCTGGAACAGAAAGATTGGTGTTCAAATGGTCTCTATATGCGTCCCAGGCCATGCAGCCTTTTATGAGCCTAGGTCTTTTTTCTGCTTCGGAAGGCGCGTCGAAGAGAACCATGTGCACTGAGGAGTGATCAGAACAAAGATCAGAGCTTGTATTGACGGCAAATGGTACGGTTCTTAGTCCTTTTGTTATAAAGAAATCAAGTAAGTCAGGAGTTTTGCGTCTGGAGGTGGGCCAATAAGTTGGTGAATTTGGAGTTACAGTGTCTAATGAAAGTTCATGGAGAACAGACCAGAGATTTCTGCCTCTTGGAGTAGACAACCTTGAACCCCAGCCTTGATGCTTAGCATTATAGTCTCCACCTGCGATGAAGCATCTTCCGAGGCGTTTGAAGAACTCAGAAAACATCGTGGGTGTAAGCTTGTACCTAGGGGGACAGTAAACTGAGGCAAATGTTATAGTGTAGTGTTTAGTGTATAGTGTTATTCCTGTCGATTGGATGTCGGGTGTAATGGGTAAATCTACGGGATTGTGTTTCAGTGAATTTTTAACGAGTATAGCTGTTCCTCCATGTGCGGTTTTATCTGGGTGATCAGTTCTATAAATTGTGTAATCCTGAATGTAAATTTTTGATCGAGATGTCAGGTGTGTTTCTGTAATGAGTGCTACGTCGATCCGTTTTTCGTGCAAGTATAAGTCGAGTTCAGTACTGTGCTGTTTCAGTCCGTTGGCATTCCATAGAAGAACTGACAAGGAGCCTACAGTTAAATTATTGTGGGCCATAATTTGGGCACCAGACCTGTGTAACCTGTGACAGTTGTTGAAGAAGAATGAAAAGGGGCTGGATTAGGTTATTTAATCCATTAATTATATTAAATAATTGGGAAGAGCCATTATCTACCGGAGGTATCGGTTGGGTAATGCCTCTCCTCGTACCTGTACATGTTGTCTGGTTCGGGGGTGCTGAACTAGATGATGTTTGATTTTGTTGTTGCGGAGGTCCTGCGATGATCTGTGGTTCCCCTTGGTTGTGACGTTGCCGCATTGGGGGGAATTCATGCATGCCTGGAGGTCCCTGCGCTGGCTCTGCTACTGTGGAACGCTGAAGACGATTTCTTGCATTGCGCTGAACCCTGAGGTCTTTCAGCGTCTGGCAACCTCTGTAATTAGCGGGGTGCTGACCGGCACAGTTGGCGCATTTCGCGGGAGTGTCTCTGGTTTTCAAACATGAGCTGGTTTCATGATATTCACCACACTTTACGCATCGTGGTCGATGGTTGCAATAAGTTTTAGTGTGCCCATATTGCTGGCACCGAACACACTGAGGAATATTTCTCTTTTGACGCGGTTCCTCAATTTTAATATGTGAATAATATAGAAATTCAACATTAAAAATTTCTTCTCTAAATGTCTCTTTTGTAATGTCCACAAAGAACATAGGAAGGGGTTTTTTAAATCGAGATATGACGTTAACTACATTGGTGGCTTCGTAACCCAATTTTTTAAATTCTTCTTTAATGATATCGACTGGTGTTCCATGGTGAAGATGTTTAACAACAATCCTTGGACATTTGTCCTGTGGAAGTTGGTAAGTATGGAAGTCGGCACCTTTATTTCGCAGGCTAGAATTTAATTTTCGATAAACGTCAGGATTTTCTGGGTACACAGTGACACCTTTCAATGTAGACTTCGTTTTAAACATATTAGGACCCGTTTCGTTTTCTAGAAATGAGATTAATGCATGGTAATTCTCAACACCGTTTATAAAAATTGGTGGAGTTTTATCGTTTTGAGGTGTTCTTCTAACTTCTTCTGTTTGTAAATTAGTTATGTTGGTTAGAACCTGAAAACTGTTCGAGGTTGGGATAGATTCTGTCGGTCGTTTTTGAGCTCTTGGCTCGCTCGAATCTATCATAGGTCTTTTACGACCAATAACCAGTTCCCAGGAGCCGTCTTCATTGTTTATATCACTGTTTTTAAAGTTCATGTTACTTACCTCAGTTTGAGATGATTCCACCATTGTTGGCGGTGAAATCCGCTCAATTTTTGTTTGGTGTTTTGTCCTTAGCAATCTTGTCTTGATAAAACACTTTTATTACACAAAAATTAAGTATGTACACTTAATTAACACATTTTTTGGAAGACAAAACTAAATTAACCTTTCTCCTTATTTAACATCAACAGCTGTTCAATTAATGAATTTAAAAATTAAATATGAGAAGCAGAAAATTAGTAAAAAATCACAAAAGAGTATATGAAAGAGGAAGATATCTTTCTTTTTTGTCACTCTGCAAACAAAAGTGGAATTTTAGATGTATACTTTTGATAGCATATGCCTTAATTATTTGATATATTTTTATAAAATATATGGTAATTTATTTATTTATTTTTTTTTAGCTGTTCCATCAAAGCCTGTTTATATGCCGGTATTTCTTACGAAAAAAGAACGAAAAAAACTTAGGAGGCAAAACCGAAGAGAAACATGGAAGGAAGAGCAAGAGAAAATACGTTTGGGTTTAGTTGCTCCTCCAGAACCAAAGGTTTTTGTTTATTACTTACCTCAAAGTGAAATGTTAAAAAAAGTATTATCTTATTATTTTTGGAGTTTTCTTCCTCTTTAGGTATTAAAAGGATTCTTACTTCTTGTTTGTGAGACACTTGGAATGGAAGGTGACATTTAGCTGTAATGGTGAGTTGCTGAAGCAATTGAAAAATGGTTTGTGTTTACAACCTCATATCAGCAATTTCCAGAATATGTTAACATAAAAGAAACCAAAAACATATATCTATTTAAGTTTAATTTATTGAAATCTTAATGTGCTTCATGAGCTATAATTAAGGCTTGTTAGGGGAAAATGCTTATTGGATTCCATTTCAGTTTTATACCTATATTATTATTTAAGTGAAGTTGGCAATTATAACGTTTTTGTAACTTGTTAATTTTTTTATTTGTCACATTTCTTTGCAGATTATAACGTTTCAGGAAATGTTTTCATCAGAAACATACTCAAGATTGTTAGATCGTTATTTTTTTCTTGTGCTCCCTGTGGCGTTATATAAAATTTGTTTGCTACTTAGTTAAATATATTCAGGAGCAACATTTATCTTGAGATAAATTTATCATAAATGTTGCTCCGGAATATGTTCAACTATTAAAAATAAACAAATTTTATGTAATGACAAAGGGAGTGAAATAAAAATAAGAAAAGACTAAATGCAGTTAATATGTTCCTGATGATGGAAAAACATTTCCCGAAATGTTAAACAATATAGGGACATGTGGCAAATAAAAAATATAAAAGTCATGAAGAAGTTATAATTTTCAACTTCTCCTGTATAACAAAAACTTTTGAAAAAAAAAAGATAACAAGAAGAATTGGTAATCTAATGTTTTTAAATTATTTATTCGATTTTATAAATTTGTAATATCAATTTTGTAAATTTAGTTTGTTAAAAAAAAAAAAAATATTAACCCATCATTTATAATATTAAATTAATTAATATAGTATTATTATTTATAATGGTTTAAAAGGTATAGGTCTTAAAGGTCACAGTTGAAGCTGTGTGACCATGAAACTTGCAAAAATTTTATCTGCAAAATTTGGAGATGTTTATAGAATCATAATTACAAGCTTGAGACCAAAGCAGTATTAGTAATTCATTATTAGTATTTTAAAAATATTAATATGTAAATGTATTCAATATAATGTTTATAATATAATATCATATAATGTTTTTGACTTATGGTTCTTCTGGTCATCAGATTCTTGATCATCTAACAAAATTAAATAGAGAGCAACTTCATTGTTCATGTTTCGGTTCTTTTGCAGATTATCCCCACCAGTTATTTTTAAATAGGAAAATTATCTGTTATAGAAAACTATGAGTTATATTTGAATCATTGTTATTCTTCTATTATAGTCCGTGGTCCAGACCCCTTTTTATCAAATTATTAACATCCGCCTGAAACTTCATAAATAGTTTCATCTCATTGTAACCTACATCTATTTTATTTACAAAAACTCTTGGAATTGGGGCATTTTCAATATGGAGGGGGAGCAAAATTTGTCTATTTCATTAGGTACTAAAAACTCGTAAATACACATTTGCTTTCCACTTGGATCGTAAGATAATTTGATCACAAAATCGAGAAAAAAAGGTGGCTTTAAAAAATATTGAGCCGTTTGGTGGTGTGACCGACATCTCTAAATTTTCATAATAACAAGGTTATATAGGACAAACGACCCAATATTTTTGTAGGCCACCTTTTTTTATCTATTTTGTGATCAAATTATCTTATGATCCAAGTAGAATGCAAATGTCCCCCCCTCCAGATTGAAAACGCCCCAATTCCAAGAGTTTCCATAAATAAAATAGTTGTAGGTATGAGATGAAACTATTTATGAAGTTTCAGGCGGATCTTAATAATTCGATAAAAAGTGGTCTGTACTGCATACTATTATATAAACATACAGATTCATTTAGTAAGCAAAATGAACACCTTTAGATTATACACCAGTTTGAATAATAACGAGAATGAAGCCTTTAAGTTTTAGCTGGAATTATACATATATTAATATAAAATAGTTTTGGCCATGTAAATAACCTTTAAAAAAATAAATATATCAAAATGTGTTTTGTTGGGGAAGAGATCATGGAAAACATTTGTTTAAAATAATATTACTAAATATTAAAGAGTTTCGGCCATATGAATAACCTTTTAAAAACAAAATGTGAATTAAATTAATTATAATTAAAGCTTTTGATATCATGTTTATCTTTAATCACGCAAAATAACAGGTTACTATTGAAAAATACCTGGCAGAGCCAATCTGCAAAAGATCTCATATGTTTTAGTCCTAAGATGTTATCTTCACACTCTTAAGCCTTGTCATCAGTATTATAAGTAATGCTTCTGAAACATTTTAAGCTAAGACCAGCACCATAATTTATTTTGCTCATGCTTAGAGCATACTAAGTGGTTGGAAGTTTACTTTCTACTTTGACATTCATTGTTTAGAATACCTCAATAGTTGAGTATAGAATCACCTTGTATATGTAATTAATTTTAGTTTTCTCTTCATAAAAAAAGTATACATTTTGGCATTGTAATAATGATGTCTAAACGTCATTCTCATTTTTTTCTCTCAAACAGTGGTATAGCTCTACTCTATATTACTATCTCCTTATTAACAAGAAATCAATAGTGTATATATACATTCAGATTAGAATTAAAAAAAAAAAAGAAAATATATAAAGAAGCTTAATTATATTGTTTTATTTGCCCTTGTGTATATTTCAGGGCTAAATTAAAGTATTTTTTTAAATTCAAATTATAATTTTTTCATTACCTTATTTAATTTTCTTGTATACATTTTAAATTCTTTGTTTGTATGCTGTAGTTATTGTGTATTTTTAATTTATATCTATTTTAATGCATTTTTTCTTCTTTTTAATAGCTCCGTATTTCAAATTTGATGAGAGCCTTGGGCACAGAAGCTGTTCAGGACCCAACAAAAATGGAAGCTCATGTAAAAGCTCAGATGGCAAAGAGAGCTAAGCAGCATGAAGAAGCAAATGCAGCTCGTCGTCTTAATCAAGACCAAAGGCGAGAGAAAAGGAGGCGAAAGCTAATGGAAGATACTACTCTTGGGGTTCATGTTTCCGTTTATAGGTAAACAATTTTCCTTCAAAATTCATTACAGCATGGATTTTTATCTGGTAGCATATTTTTTATTATCAATATTTGATCTTGATCTTGTCTTCTTCTGCTGGAGCAATGGGAGCAATGTTCCTCGTTGTAGAGCCTCATCCAAGAGCAAGCAGCTGGTTGCGTCTGTTCTAGTCCATTCCTCTCCTGTTGAATGCCTCCTGGGCTGCTCCTTTCAAAGTGTTTCTGGGCCTTCTACCCTCAACGCCATTCTTTTAATGTGACTAAACCACCATAGCTGATTCTCTTCTATTACATGTACAACAGATTAATTCCAAGTTACTTCTAATTGTCGTATTTCTGACCCTATCTCTTCTTATTTTTCCTTCTATTCTTCACAGATACCCCATCTCCCTCCAATGCTTGTGTTTGGCTCCTTTGTCTTGTCAGAGTACAGGGTAGGTTTTTTCTGTTATTCCCGACTATGACTATATCGTAACCATAGCAAGGAGTGTGAGGTAAACTTGAGTTAATTCTCATGGCCCAGCTAAAGCTGTCTCATTCTTATCTTTGCCCTTTTCAAGGCCATTTTGAGTACCAATATAAACAGTAGTGGCCTAAGACTACAGCCCTGCCTTATTCTTTGGCTACTCTTGAACTCCTTTGATGAGTGGTTGTTAGTTCTCACCACAATTCTTTTTTGTTTATAAAAACTCAGTATAGCCCTCACCAGATCTGTTTCGTCGTTCTGCTCTTCCAGAGTTTTGGTTATATCTATTGTCGTAGCCCTGTCAAATGCTTGTATCAGGTCCACAAAACAGATATAAAGTTCTTTTCCGAGGCCTTGTCGGAGTTTTTTTTGGCCTTGGAATTTTCCATATAGCCAGTATAAAACTATTTAGTTGTGTTCTTATTCTTCACCGTTTTCATTTTAAATATATCTGTTTATTGTATAAAATATTGCATAAACATTGAAAATTTCCTTAGGTGCTGCTCGATGTTAATAATTTTTTATATAGATTGTCATAATTGTGTGGATTTAGAAAATTCTGTGGTTTCGTTCAGTTTGTTTTATATTGATAAAAAAATAATACAATATTAACTACAAATACATGTAAATTACAGTTTACAGTTTATAAAATTTAAGTAACGAGTAGTAGAACTAAATGAGGAGTTGTATAATTAGTAAAATGGGGCCATAAGGTAGACAGAGGATATCCCCTAGAATATATATATATTTAATAAAAATAAAGTTTCTTTATTTCTGTGTTATTGTTGATTAGTATTTTTATTTAAATGCTTAGTAAAATCTAATAAATGCTATCTAGTTATTGTTACCTTCAATTGAGGAAAAGATGGAATAGCAGTGTCATCAGCAAAGCAATAAATGGTGATGCTAGGGTGGGTGCTCAGGGGTATCAGAGGTGTATAGAGAATAGAGGGTTGGGCTTAGGATGATACCCTGTGGTACACAAATGTGTTGGGGGAAGAGGGAAGAATCTATGGAAGTACAGAAAAAACTGTTGAGAAAGTAGGATTGGAGAATTAAAAAATAAGTGATAGGTAAGTGCAGTTTTAGTTTCCATAATAGGCCCTTGTGCAAGACACTATCAAATGCTTTTTCTAGTTGCACAGTAGAGTGATAACAACGAAAGCCAAACTGGTGATTTGGTATCACTTCAATACTTTCTAGAATAGGCTTTAGATGGTTCAGGAGTAGTTTTTAAAATATGTTTCCCATTATTGGAAGAAGTGTGGTATAGGATGATAGGGTGAAGGAGTAGTGGTAGGTTTTGAAGGCTTAGGAATCATTTTAATTGCAGAGAGTTTCCAAAGGAGAGGAAAATATTTAAAATGTTTAACAATAATTTTAATTTTTTCTTTCATTATACTTTTTTCCTGTTCATTTATAGGGTAAAAGACTTGACAAATATGACCAAAAAATTCAAAGTGGAAATGAACTGCAAACAGCTTTTCATGACAGGAGCAGTTATAATGTACAAAGACTGTAATGTTGTCATTGTTGAAGGTGGACCTAAGCAACAAAGTAAATACCATAGGTAAAGTAAATATTTTTTTTCTATATTTACATTAAAATTAATTCAATTTTGTACCTGGTAAATATAATTAGGACAGGACTATGTAAATAGATGCACAACGTTGTAAACCGAGTATCATGTATCCTAGGAGTGGGCCAAAATAGGTGGGTAGATTGTGTTAGATCTTACTTAGTATGTTTTGTTTTCGACAGGGTTCTGTGGATGGGAGTTTACAGACATAGTTTCTTGGTGTTATTGCATTTTTTTTTTTTTTTTGGGTCCTCCCCTTCTCGCCTTTAAGGCTATACAGGGTTTTCCCGGGCCAGGGGGTGTAGACGGGGATTTAAAAGATTCCTTCGCGGTACCAGGACGCGAACTCGTGACTATTTTAAATCCATTGTCTCAGAGATCAGGTTGCCAGGAAACGGTGGTGCTGTGCACGCCCGTTCGGCCACCACGCCCATTTTTTTTTTGTATTAAAAAATAATTCCTTAGTGACTGGATTTCTTAAAAGATAGAAGTAAGAACATGGTATTAGCTTCATTACATCTTTTTATTCTCCCCTACCTTGGGACTAAACAGGTTTTTTCCCACACCTCACAAGAGGACAGGTGATTAATGTCAGAGTTAAATGTCCCAAATACCAGGACTCAAACTCGTCATCTTCAGGTTATCAGGTTGCCGTGCAACATTGTAAATGGGCTAGCCTGCTAAGCCACCCACCTTCATTATATCTTGTGAAGTTAACAGTCCTGAGGGCAAAATTAATCATCAACAGAATCGGCAAAAAATATATCGACAGCCATCCTGCAAAAACCAGTAATGACAATTTCTATGGAAAATTAGGTTATGAGCTTTTCTGGTCAATCTTGTACTGGCACTTATCTTGATCCCGAAATGAAATCTACCTTGTTTAATTTCTTCTCTATGGCCTTTTGTAAAAACTTGTAATTTAAAAACAAGCAAATTGTGATATAAAAAACTGCAAGTTACAGTGAAGGTTATAGAGATTATGTCGTTACCAAAAAAAACATAATGAAAGGTGGTCATGTAAATATAGAATGTATAAAGCTTTTTGCGCATAGACTAAAGTATCAATTATCTTTATTAATAGGCCAAAATTAATTTTTCTCATACACTTTATATTCATAAAAATGGTAAGCTGTTTTTGCACAATTTGTATAACCTAACCTACCAATTCATTAAAATACAGTCCACTGCATAAAAGTAGAATGTTGCCCATAATTTGAATGTTGCCTATTAAGAACTCATGACCGTTATTTCCCTTGCCTTAATTTAAAATTTGAAAAGTTGCCTAAACACAAGTCTTGTGAGTTTTTAACTCGCCCTGTGACTTAAAACTCTTCAATCATATGCCTACTTAAAGTCGACGAAGAGATGGTGAGTCGTCTGTTGGTAGGGATCCTCGTTGCAGTGAAATTGGAACAAAGAACAAACAGTATGGTATGAGCCAACTGTCCTCTCTACTTCCAGTCAATCTTCTCGTATTGATCTATACCCATATCTTGATCATTATTACTATTTTCTCTTCTATATTTTTTTTCGATTGGAATGACTGGATAATCCCAGCCATTACTGACTTACCCTTCTGGAGTACTCCCAGAATTATCCTGTACCGTGGAACTCGTAAGGATGAATTTTATTATAACAATTTGAAAAAGCAGGATGCATGAAGTGCAATCCTATTCCAAAACATGATTAAAAAAAGAAAATTCCAAAAGATGATTGTCATGCAAAAATTGAGTCTCAAAAGTTGTGCTAACAGTTGAGAGCAGAGATTGACTCGGTTGCAACTGAACATTTGATTTCAAAGTTTCTTATTTTATAATCAAAAAAGTTGTTGGATTATATATTATTAGGAAAAAACTAATTATTTAATTATAATAGTTAACAGTTATTTCTAATATAATGTCAGTATTGGTTTATAATTATTTAAGGGCGTGGTGGAAGAGAGAATTAAGTCATTGCTTGCAGCATTCTCGAATCACAAGCTCAAAATTATTTATTTGTGTTTATGTATCATAATATAATGTAAAAATTATTTATTTTTATTTTAGATTAATGATGCAACGAATAAAATGGGAAGAAGATTCTGTGAAAAATACTGATGGTAAAGAAACACCAAACAACTGTGTGCTCGTGTGGGAGGTAAATCAAATTGAAACTATTTTTTTAGTATCTAAAAATTTTCCATGCTTTTCTATAATTTTTTTCATACCTTCCTTTTGGAGGGCAATTTATTTATTAATTCAATAAATAAATTAATCCTATACAGCACATCCTGAATTAAGAAAGCATATATTTGTTATAATTATGAATAATTGTTAGTAGTTCTAGATTTTAGCATATTATCAGTTTGCCATTGCATTTGGTAAACTGAATAATAATAATAATAATAATAAAAGGCTTAGCGAACCCGAAGGTTCGATGCCGACACTATCAATCGCTTATTACACACCTCCCTCCACCGTTCGCCGTCCAAACCCAGTCCCTTCAGATCGGCTTTAATGCAATCTTCCCACCTTCGCTTCGGTCTACCCCTGGGATGCTTACCATTCGGCACAGCAAATATTAACCTTTTAGGAATTCTCTCGTTACTAAGCCCAACAACTTTACAAGCCTATTTGATTCGCCGCGATGAAATTACCTCAATTATATTACCCGGATACAGCTCACGCAATTCGGCGTTGTGTAACTGTCTGAACTCTCCGGTTAACTCATCCTTCTTCGGTCCGAATATTCTACGCAATACTTTATTTTCAAAAACCTTAAGACGTTGCTCATCCCTTAATGTAAGCGGCCAAGTTTCGCATCCATAAAGAACTGTAGGCAAGATAATTGTTTTATAGATTCTAATTTTTAAGTTCCGGGACAAGAGACGCGAACTAAGTAGTTTTGTCACAGAAAAATAACAAGCATTTCCCGCCTTCATTCTAACCTTAATCTCTTCTTCAATTTCGTTTTTTCTAGTTATTGTAGAATTATTTTAGTTATTGTAGAATTTCTAGTTATTTCAAGTCCTAGTTCTTTACTGGCTTTCATTAACGTTGTCGTATTTAGTTTTATAGTTTCAACGTCTTCACTTAACAGTACCAGATCATCAGCATAGCCCAGCACGGATGTTGTCCCCCCCAGATCCAACCCTTTCTCGGTACGCATTACCTCCCTAATGGCATGTTCTAATGCCAAATTGACAGGACAGGCGAAAGAGAATCCCCCTGTTTTAAACCCGAACGAACCTCAAATTTTTTGGACAAATTATTACCGATTCTAACTTTATTGAGTGCCTCCGTCAAGCACATCCTGACTAGATTTACTATTTTTTTTGGAATCCCCTGCTCGATTAGAATATTATACAGTTTCTGGCGGTCAATAGAATCGTAAGCCTTTTTAAAATCTATATACAGCTGGTGAACAATACCGTTATACTCCAATTTTTTCTCTAATATTTGCCGTAAAGAAAATATTTGATCAATAGTCGAACGATTCCGTCTAAATCCGCATTGGTAGTCTCCGATAATTTCCTCGGCGTATTCCGTGATTCGACTGGTTAAGATTGAAGTGAATATTTTATAACATACCGGAAGGAGTGAAATTCCTCGATAGTTATTACAATCCGTCCTCGGACCCTTTTTGTGAATCGGAATAAGAATAGATTCTTTCCATTCTTCAGGTAATTTCTCGTTCACCCAGATCTTTTTAACCAACCGATGTATTTTAGAAACTCCAGCTTCCCCGCATGCCTTAATTAGTTCAGTAGGAATATTATCGATTCCCGCTGCTTTATATGATTTTAATTTTCCGATAGCTACTTCAACTTCCTCTTTACTTGGTCCTTCTATTAACGGTTCAGCACTCTGGTACTCAGAAGGAGGACACAGATCATAATTTCCCGTATTTAAAATATTGTCAAAGTGGTCCTTAAACTTATTCAATATGTCAACCGGATCGGTCAGAATATTGTTATTATCATCCCTAATTCCAGACGTTACGGGCCCTACATATTTACGTGATCTGTTTATACCTTTGTACATGTCTCTTACGTTATTTTCGATTCTATTAGTTTCTATTTCAATTATTTTATTTTTAAGATACTCCCTTTTTTTATTTTTGAGCAATTTTGTCGTTTCGTTCTTTGAGATTCGGAAGTATTCCAGATTGTCTTCGCTAGGATTATTTAGAGCTTTTAATTTAGCGGCTTTTCTTTTTTCACACATGTTTAAGCAATCTTCATCAAACCACGGTTTGTTATTCTTATTTTCCTTTTTTCCTAGACACGAGTTACCGACCGCTTTAATATTATCCCTGATCTCTATCCATAACTTGTCAATATCCTCGTGGTCCTCGTCAGGAAGCTCTAAAGCTTCAAACCTATTCTTAACATCTAGCTCGAATTGGTTTCTAATTGATGGATTTTTTAATTTTTCCAAATTAAAATTCTCAAAATCGAAACGGTTTTCTTTTCTCTTTTTTATATTAAGTTTTTGTCGAAGTTTCGCGATTACTAATTCATGATCCGACCCACATTCTGCTCCGCGATAAGACCGTACATTAATTATACTGCTTTGCCAGCTGTGTTGTATCAAGACATGATCGATTTGATTTCGTGTTTGCGAATCCGGTGATGTCCAAGTATATTTATGAATATCCTTATGTTTAAACGTCGTACTTTTAATTATCAGGTTTTTCGAGATGGCAAAGTTTATCAGACGGATCCCATTATCATTACTATATTCGTGCAAACTTTCTTTACCAATCGTCGGAATATAAACTTCTTCCCTTCCTACCTTTGCGTTCGCGTCACCTACAATTATTTTCATGTAGTTTCGTGGTAGTTTATCATAAACCCATTCGAGTTTATCGTAAAATTCACTTTTGACTTCATCGTCACTGTCTTCGGTCGGACAATGTATGTTTATTAATGCGATTTTAAACCAACGTCCCTGAAATGTAGCTACCGAAATTCTATCACTAAAGAATTGTACGTCCCTCAAAGCGGATAGTAATCTACTCCTAATTAGAAACCCGGTACCTAAACAATGATTCCCGCTTCCTCCGTACCAAATAGTGTACTTTCCTTCCCTCATCGAGCCCTCCCCTGGCCAGCGAACCTCTTGCAGAGCCACGACATCCAAATTGTACCCATTTACCTCATTCGCGACCGATTTTAGCCCCCCTGCTGTGTTTAAACTCCTTACGTTCCACGTACCAATATTTAAATCCCTATATTTCAACTTGCGCCATGAATCCCCTAAAGCAGTCCCCACCCGGAGACCCGAACGGGGGACTAGTTTACCTCCGGATAATGAGCGTTTTACCTTAGGGAGATTAATGACTATTTGTGGTGTTTGGTGAACTAAAGATATGTGAGTAGGGCGTTCAATCCTACGTCACACCCTCCAGCAAGTCTGGTGGGCCCCTACCTCCAGCAAGTCTGGAGCAGTGTTGGGCAAAAATTATCTATAGCTAACAGATAACAGATAACAGCTAAATTAGCTATTAGCGGGCAGATAATTCTGCAACTAAATTAGCTATTAGCGGGACCAAGCCGCTAACTTTTAGCGCAAGTTAACTTTTAGCTGTTCTTACCGCTAACCGCTAATTATCTTTATCTGTATCTTCAGCTAAAAGCTAATAGCTAATTCTTCGGATTTCATTGGTCTTAGAGTCGACTATGACGTTTTGGGGGGCGCTTTTTATGAAAATAATGTCGGATTTTAGGTGTGACTCCTCCCTACCCCCCCGGAACCGACTTTTTGTAACTTTTCTGATCTATTCGATATCAGGGCCGACTATTAGGTTTTGGGGGCGCTTTTTATGAAAATAATGTCGGATTTTAGGTGTGACCCCTCCTCACCCCCCCGGGCACCGACTTTTTGTAACTTTTCTGATTTTATCGATATATGGGTCGACTATTAGGTTTTGGGGGGCGCTTTTTATGAAAATAATGTCGGATTTTAGGTGTGACTCCTCCCCACCCCCCGGGAACCGACTTTTTGTAACTTTTCTGATCTATTCGATATCAGGGCCGACTATTAGGTTTTGGGGGGCGCTTTTTATGAAAATAATGTCGGATTTTAGGTGTGACCTCCTCCCCCCCCCCCGGGCACCGACTTTTTGTAACTTTTCTGATTTTATCGATATATGGGTCGACTATTAGGTTTTGGGGGGCGCTTTTTATGAAAATAATGTCGGATTTTAGGTGTGACTCCTCCCCACCCCCCCGGGAACCGACTTTTTGTAACTTTTCTGATCTATTCGATATCAGGGCCGACTATTAGGTTATGGGGGGCGCTTTTTATGAAAATAATGTCGGATTTTAGGTGTGACCCCTCCCCCTCCCCCCCGAGCAGCGACTTTTTGTAACTTTTCTGATTTTATCGATATATGGGTCGACTATTAGGTTTTGGGGGGCGCTTTTTATGAAAATAATGTCAGATTTTAGGTGTGACTCCTCCCCACCCCCCCGGAACCGACTTTTTGTAACTTTTCTGATCTATTCGATATCAGGGCCGACTATTAGGTTATGGGGGGCGCTTTTTATGAAAATAATGTCGGATTTTAGGTGTGACCACTCCCCTCCCCCCCCCCCCCGAGCACCGACTTTTTGTAACTTTTCTGATTTTATCGATATATGGGTCGACTATTAGGTTTTGGGGGGCTCTTTTTATGAAAATAATTTCGGATTTTAGGTGTGACCCCTCCCTCCCGCCCGGGCACCGACTTTTTGTAACTTTTCTGATTTATTCGATATCAGGGCCGACTATTAGGTTTTGGGGGTCGCTTTTTATGAAAATAATGTCGGATTTTAAGTGTGACCCCTCCTCCCCCCCGCCCGGGCACCGACTTTTTGTAACTTTTCTGATTTAATCGATATCAGGGCCGACTATTAGGTTTTGGGGGTAGGTTTTTATGAAAATAATGTCGGATTTTAGGTGTGACCCCTCCCCCCCCCCCGGGCACTGACTTTTTGTAACTTTTCTGATTTAATCGATATCAGGGCCGACTATTAGGTTTTGGGGGGCGCTTTTTATGAAAATAAAGTCGGATTTTAGGTGTGATCCCTTCTCCCTCCCCCGGGCACCGACTTTTTGTAACTTTTCTGATATAATCGATATATGGGTCGACTATTAGGTTTTGGGGGGCGC